TATTCTGTATAGCTTTATTCTCGGGAGTAATTACACTTTTAAAAAAATGTTGCTAGGTTACAATAAGGCAAGGAGTACAGATATTTTCCTTTTAAATTATTTGTTATTTATTTTTATTTTAGTCTTAATACATTTAAAAAGACTAAGATCATAGAAAATATGTTCTCTGATCACAATGACAGAAGGAAATTTAGAAAATTCACAAATGTGTGGAAATTAAACAACACTCTCCTAAATAAACAATGGGTAAAAAGAAATATCACAGGGAAATTAGTGACTACTTTGAGATAAATTTTGATATAGGATGCAAGGCTCATGCAGTGCTTAGAGGAAAATTTATACTTGTAAACACCTATAATAAAATGCTACATTCTTTTTTAAGGTATTAATCTCTTTGTAAATTTCCTCCTTCATATCCTGGATTTTTTTTCTTGTTTCATTGTGTCATCTAACTGAGTCTTCTATATCAGCAAGTTTCCTTAACATTGTTGCTCAGAATTCCTTTTCAGTCAATTTCAAGGTTTTCCTGCTCTATAGGGTCTGGCATTTGAGAATTACTATATTCTTTTGATGGTGTCGTATTTTATTGGGTTTTCATATTTTAGTATCTCTATGTTGATGTCTGGTCATCTGGTAGAGCAGTTGCTTTTTCTATTACACTGGAATCAGCTTTGAGGAGAGAGACGTCCTCTTCTTTTTCCAGTCTCCACTGATGACTCTCCTTGTGTCAATGTAGTTGAGTGTCTGGTGGGCCACCTGCATGGTAGCTGTGGCTACTGCTATGGTGTCTGCCACTTTTGCGGCAGCCATGGCTGTGGCGGTGGCTGTCACGGGCCACCTGCATGGCTGTGGTGTTTTCAGTGTGCTTCTGAGGATGTTGCCCTTTGTTCTGCCTTAGGACCCTGGGAGTGCTCTCTTTCTTTCCTGCTTCTGGATGGAGGGGGCTGCCCTCAGCTCTGCCTAAGTACCCCGTATGTGCTCTCAAGGAGTACAAATATTTGAAACTGACTTTCAGTTTATTTTCTAAGAGACATGAAGGGAAAAAAGAACTCTCAGCAGCAAGCAAACACACAGAGCCACTCAGAACCTACGGCCTTTCGGATGGGCCTAGGTCTGGAACATGAGCTATACCTGTGTTAATACAGATGATGGAGCCCAAACATTCAACACTCAAGTGAACATGTTCCCAAGAGCATCATGAACCTTAGCCAAATCCTCTAGGGAGCCATGTACAATTAGCTTTGGGAAAATATTTTGCAGAAAGTTACTTCAGCTGTTTTAACATTGACCTACTGTGGAGACAGCTGGAATCTAAATTGATACTTGACATTTTAGCTCTTAATTCTCAATTAACCTAGAGGGTTCAAACAATTACCAGTGATATAAAAGTTGAAATTTTAGAATTTTAATAAGCCTGAAAGTTATTTTCTAATAATATGTCTAGTTGTGTTGTTATATTGTTTATAATTCAATTAGTTAAATGTGGTATTGATTATTATACAATACAATATTATACAAAGGCAGTAGAGTATGAGCTTTAGAACCAGATTAATTGCCTGGGTATGAATCCTGGCTTTACCACTTACTAGCCGAATGACCACAAGCAAGTTACTTAACCTGTCTGAGCTTAGGTTTCCTAAAACATAAAATGCGAATGATGATAGTAATCAGTTTTCCAGAGAAACAGAGCCAGTAAGAGACATATAGATAAAATTTATTTCACGGAATTGGCCTACATGGTTGTGGGAGCTGGCAAGTCTGAAATCTGTAGGGCAGGCTAGAAATGCTTGGGCAGGATTTGATGCTGTAGTCTTGAGGCAGAATTTCTTCTTTCTCAGAGAAACCTCGGTTTTGTTTGTAAGGCCTTTCAATTGATTGGACGAAGCCCACTCACACTATTGAGGCTAATCTCCTTTAGTTAAACTCAACTGATTATAGATGTTAACCACTTCTACAAAATACCTGCACAGCAATACCTAGATTAGTGTTTGATTAAATAACTGGGTACTATAACCTAGTAACTTTTAGACATGAAACTATCACACCTACTATGAAATTCATGAAATTGTGATAGTTAAATTAGCACATTTTCAGTCTTAATAAACACTTCTGAGAGGCAGAGCAAGTGTTATTATCCCCACTTTACTGAGAAGAAAGCTAAGGCTCAGAGTTGTAAAGGGAGTGGCCCAAAACTGCACAGTAAACAGCAGATTCCAACTGCCTAATTCCTGGTGTAATGTGCTCTCTGCTATACAAGGGTACTTCAAAAAGTTCATGGAGGGGCCGGCCCGGTGGCGCACTGGATAGTGCGCGGCTTGGGAAGCGTGGCGGTGCTCCCGTCCGAGGGTTCGGATCCCACATACGGACCGGTTCCCGCTCACTGGCTGAGCGGGGTGCGGGAGCAACGCCGAGGGTTGCGATCCCGTTGCCGGTCCCCGGTCCGGTACGGGGGCAACACTGAGGGTTGCGATCTGTTGCCGGACACGGAAAAAAGACAAAAGACAAAAAAAAAAAAAAGTTCATGGAAATATTTGTGTTATTTTTCTTTCTTTTTTTTTTTTTTGTCTTTTTTCATGTCCAGCAACGGATCGCAACCCTCAGTGTTGCGCCCGCACCGGACCGGGACCGGCAACGGGATCGCAACCCTCGGCGTTGCTCCCACACCTCGCTCAGCCAGTGAGCGGGAACCGGTCTGCATGCGGGATCCAAACCCTCGGCGGGAGCGCCGCTGCACTCCCAAGCGGCGCACCGTAGCAGTGCGCCACTGGGCCGGCCCTTGTGTTATTTTTCAATTTAATTTTTCCATGAACTTTTTGAAGTAACCTTGTGTTATCTGCTGGCCATATCTGGTTGGTATAGAGGAGCTATTTCTCAACCCTGCAGTTCTCTTACTTAGTTCTTAAGTGAAGGCAGTCTTTACTTATACTTAAATATATTGAATGTAACATTTTGATTTTGTTCTAAGCAAATGACAGTAAATATTTTTATACTTACAGCTAAATTTAGTTTAGAAAAAGCCTCTATGAGGTTTAAAATATGTATAACTGGAGGCTAGGAAGTTAACAAATTTATTTTTATTTTTTTCTTGCTCTGGAAATTAATCTTAACTTTTTCAATAATGTATACCTTTCTTGGGATTGGACCTAAATGTGCCTTTAGTAGTGACAATTTTGCTAGGTTTTATGAGCATGCTTGTAAATTTGGGTCTTATTCTTATTTTAATTAACCATAATTGTAACTTTGGAAAGTTTTCTCTGCATTTTTAAAAACTGCCAGGTCACTTTGGTAGCTCTGAAACTTATACATGCACCTTTTATTATTTGGCAAATATTTCTCCAACAGACATAAGATTATTTAAAATTGCTTTCCTGCTCTCAGTGTGCAGTCCATTTGAACAGGAAAGTATCTGAGATAAGCCCCACCTTTATTCCCATCTCTACTATAGCATTTGGCACATCATATCATAACCATTTACTTATATGTCAGTGATTTTTGAGGATAAGGACTTTGTTATGGCATCTTTTACGGTCAGTCAGCCCTGGTTTTAAATCCTAGGTCTATCACTTGCTAGAGCCTTGGGCAAATTATTTAACCTTTTGAGCCTCAGCTTACACACCTTTAAACTATAAACTAAGAAAAATAATACTGACTTCATAAAGTTATTGTGATGAATTGTTAGAAGCACCCAGCACAGTTCTGCTACATAGTAGATGCTTAACAAATATTTGATGTTCTCCTCCTTCTCCTTTTTTTTTTTTTTTTTTTTTTTTTTTTTTTTTTTTTTTTTTTTTTGTTGTTGTTAGCATCCCTAGGCCTAGCAGTCTGATACTTAAGGTCTCATTAAACTTTTGTTGAATGAATGATAAGATGAATATATATTCTGTCAAAGGAGAAGAATCATATTTAAAGTAAAGAATAAACAAACAATATTATTAAATGAATTTGCTATTAATTTGACTTTTTTCAATTTAGTTGTAACTTAAAAATGCATTCTCTTTACATTTCAAAAGTATTGGTGTTGTGTGCCTAGTGAGGAGAGGTATAACACTATGTAGTGTCACTGCACCAAGCTATCTATGCCTTCCATGTCTTAGAAAGTTTCTTGCCTTTTATTCAACAATCACCATTTTGGAATTGTGTGTTTTAAGGAAGAAATGTTGTACTTGATCTTTCTTGTTCTTCCTTCTGTCTTTCCTCATGGCATTGTTTTGGTTTCTTTTTCATTTATAGTATTCATCTTACTCCAGATTGTACTGATGATATTTGTGGACTTGTCCTTGCTTACCACCTAGAGTTCAAAAGCTATCACAGAAGTTCTTAACTTATTTGGGGTTCATTATTAACCCTTTTGAGGCTATGATGAAAGCTATGAACTATCCTCCCCAGAAAAATTTGCATATGTACAAACAAAAGTTTTCATATTAGTTCAAGAGGTTTATGGACTCCAGGTTAAGGATTCTTTTCCAAAGCACAGAGAAGTTTATTTTTTTGGCAGCTGGCTGGTATTGGGAACTGTACCCTTGTCCTTGGTGTTACAAGGCAGCACTCTAACCACGTGAGTTAACTGGCCAGCCCTCTTTTTCTAGATTGTATGTTCCTTTAGAGCAATACCTGAGTTTCACTGACCTTTGTGTCTGTGGCAGAGCCTACCATGTATGTAGGAGTATAATGCTTAGTAAATAGTCTGAACTGATTAATAGAAATGGAAAGATGAGAATCTTTACGTTTCATACTACGAAATCTCTAAACACAATTTCTTCTTTGTTTTCTTAGGCTTCCATCTGAGTGGCACAGTAACTGAGCCGGCCACTGCTTCTGAACCTACAGTGACTTACAAAGTTGCCATCAGTTTTGATCGATGCAAAATCACTTCAGTGACATGTGGCTGTGGGAACAAGGACATATTCTACTGCGCTCATGTGGTAGCACTTTCACTGTACAGGATCCGTAAACCAGACCAAGTCAAATTGCGTCTTCCTATCTCAGAAACCCTTTTCCAGATGAACAGGGACCAGCTACAAAAGTTTATCCAATATTTAATCACAGCACACCACACTGAAGTTCTTCCTACTGCACAGAAACTGGCAGATGAGATTCTGTCCTCCAACTCAGAAATCAACCAAGTGAATGGTAATTCTACAACACTTTGTTGCTAAAAATGGTCTTTTTTACCACTACTGTCACCAAAGCAACCCTCTTCCTTATACTTTGTTGCTTCATTGCATGTTTACAGGTTGAGATATTTCTATAATTGTAATCTCTTAACCTTAATCAGTTTATTCTATCTAGACAACTATGCGTTTAACTCTTAGTTTCTTAAAGCAGTCCAACTGTCTACCTCATAAAGGTTTTTGCAAAAAAGGGCAGGGAATACTAGTTATATTTTGATCTAGCATATGGACTTTTCTTTGTCGATACAGTCCTTGTCCCTAGGAGTCTGAAATATTCAACAGTGAGAGAAAGCACAAAATAAGTTGTGTCAATCAATAAGATGACATGGATATGAAAATCCCCTTGACATTTCAGGATCCTACATAACATCAGAGTTATCCTAAGAAGCATCTGTTAGCACTGTGCTTATAAATTATATTTGGGATTGCATGGATGGAGAAGGAGATCATGTTCACTCATTCATCCAACAAGTATTTATCGAGTAACTACCATGTGCAAGGAATAGTTCTGATTGTTGAGAGGATAAAACAGATGTGGTTCTTGCCTTCAAGAAGCTTGTAATCTAGAAGAAATGACAGAAAAATCTGAAATAACCGCTTGTTTTTATAGTGAAGACAGATTATAGAAACTTAATTATAAAGAACCACTGAAGAATTTTGAGAAGAGGAGTTATATGAGCCAATTTTTCATTTTGTTTGTTAGGTCCTACTATGTTCCAGGCATCATGCAAGAGACTTCATATACATTAATTCATTTAGTTTTCAAAACTAGTCTGATGTAGGTACTATAATAATTTTCACTTTAGAAATTGTTTATAAACTAGGCTCATCTGACTTAAGAATTCATGTGGTTGTTTTTGTTTTGTTTAATGCTTCTCTAAACTCCACCTCTCTCTTTTTGTTTTTTTTATTTTTATTTT